TATTTAATAATATTTATTTGTTAACAAAATGTGTTTTCTGTTTGTAGTTATTAATGAACATATATTTCCCATATAATAATAACAACAACAACAACATTTATCCATCTATCCACCCAATAATTTAATAATAATAATAATAATAATATTAATAATAATAAACTATTACATAGAAAATACCAGGATTTTTTTAAACATTCCCTTTTTGTATTAGACATGAGGGTGAATAAATGACAACTATCATTTTTTTGTAAATGATTCCTTTAATCAGCACGAGACCAAAATGGAAAACCAGGAAAACCTTGAGGAAAAAACTGTTCTGGCTCCTATAACATGCACTCGCTCACACAAAACACACACATACACTACAGTCTGCTTAAGAAAACACAACACACACACACACTTGTTGTGATCGATCGAGAGCCGTCAGCCGTATCTTACCCAGTCTCAGCCTAAGAATAACTTATTGATCATCAGATTGTGTTACCAAGGGTGTGTGTGTGTGTGTGTGGGTACGTGCATCGGTGTGTTTAAATGGCTCTATTTATGACTAAATACTACAGGAAACATCTCACCAATGACACACACACGTCATCAGTCACTGTCATGTAGAACTGCACATGTCAGGATTATACTTCATACTTTGTGTAGAGTGTGTGTGTGTGTGTGTGTCTTTAAATGCAACTAAATGTATGTCAGATTCATCATAGCGGTTTGCAACCTCAGCAGCTGTCCATAAAGAAACAGGTACTGTACGTCACAGCAAAAGATGAGCGTGTGTGTGTGTGTGTGTGTGTGTGTGTGTGTGTCACACTTGATAGTATGAGTGAAAGTCAAGTGCAGTGAAGTGTATCTTAATACAGATATCTAAATCCTCTCTGAGAGCGGAAATGACAATCCATAAATCTTACAATAAACACGTACTCTCAGTATTCATGTGCTCATCATACAGTATATACTGAGACTCTAATATAGATCTGAGTGTGATCTAACACCACAGACAGACGCTTTCATGTTCACTTCATAAAGATTTTGGCTAATATGAATACCTAATACAATAAGATCGTAGTTGGCACATTTCATGAACAGGATACAAATTTTGACCTAAATTACTTTAAATTTTAGTTATGTTTTAATTTTTTAAAAATGTAAACATTTTCTTTAAAAAGGAACATTACTGACAGGAATTTTTTATTACAACAACTTGATAACAGGGTTAACAATAATGCTAATAATAACATAATGACAATTATTATTTAATATTATTTATATTAATATTTTAATTTATAATATCATTTTTCATCATTATTTAATAATATTTATTTTCAATACAATAACTTGTGTTTTCTGTTTGTAGTTATTGATGAACATTAATTTGGTATAATTATATATTTATACAATCAATGAAATATGTAAATTATGACTATGGCTGAACAGGCCAGAATCTGCATTTAAAAGGGGATTCTAGACTTAACAATGTGTTTAAAACAAGCTATTTGTCATGGTACATTACATTTATGGTATATGGTATAGTTTATCAAACATATAAAGTGCATTACTATGTGATTTGACGTGAAATTTGTGCCCCTAATGCTTTAAAAGTACATCAGGACATCCCATTGTGCCCTCTTCATGGAAAGAGCCAGTACTCTCAGTTTTGATTTCCACATTTTAGCATAATTAAATCCACTCCTCAGATTTGAGCCCAACATCAGTGCAGGAAACGGGAGATGATTTGAGATTTGATCTGGGCGGCCCATAGGCATCGCTCTGTGTGCGCTGTGATCTCTGACACATGTTCTCGAGTGAAGCTGCAGCTCGCACGCTTTCTACATTCATTAATGTTCACTGTCTGCGATGTGGTTTCATATCTCATACGTCAGACGTAGAGGACGTATTTCTACAGTTTTGTAGTATTTTTCCCCTGAAGCTGTTATTTTAGTGTAGTTGAGATACTATTTATTTATTTACATTTGCTTTTATTTTTATATTTTCTGTTTTCATTCATTTTAATTAAAGTTTTGTTCATTTTGTTGTATGTTTTTGTCATTTTTATTGTTTTTTTTATGTGTATAATATTTTTTGTTTCGCCTAATTATATGTCTAATTTTTATTTCAGTTATAGTTTTTAGTTATTTTAGTACTTAAACAAAAACGATAAATGTTGAAAGTGTAAGGGTTGTTGTTGTTATTTCTTTACATTTTATTTCAGGTAAATTTAATTTATTTTATTTAATGAAATATGTTTTTTATGTTTTAATTTACTTTAGTCAGAAGATGTGGTAAGATGTTTTTATATTTTTTATTTACATATTTTAGAGAGAGAGAGAGAAAAAGTATATTATTTTATAGTATATTTATTTATTATTTATATTTATTTACTTCTATATAATTTACTTATAGATTTTTTTTATTTCAGGCCAAAACGTTAATTGGCAAAATCTGTATGGATAGAAGCAAATATTATGTGTAAATATTAAGACAGAATTGAATTATAAATGTAAACTATTCCTTTAACACAGTAGCCATCATGTCATGGTTGGATATGTAAGACAGGGTTATTGTTATCATGCTGTCAGTCACTGCAATTACAGCCCAGACCTGTGATAGACCCCAGTGTCTCATTTATATCATTACGACAGTCAATATCTGTACCAGTAATGACTCGAGCATTATTGAAGATCATTTGTTCGCCTCCTGATAGTTTTAATAGTTATTGGTTATGATAACATGCCTTATAATAACAAGCATCTGTTTGCCCTATAATAATACACAACACAATCTGATTAGATGAGCTGCTCCAAATGCTTTATGGATAATAATTGGCCTGACTCAGTAGAGTCGCTTAACTCACAATGATAGCATGGGGTAGATTAGTCATCTAATGCAGAGTAAGTGAACAAACAGTAATCATTTCTGTGTGGACGTGGCGGGAATAGTGGGTTGCATGAAAAAAAAAAATATATATAAAATAAAGTAAAATAACATAACTATTATTATTTGAAAATATTAATAATTGTGTGTGTATATTTACAGTCAAACCAAAAATTATTCTGACACCAGATATAATTGTTGATATTGTTTTACTAGTGGGTGCAGGACACTATAGTTCATGAGCAAAATAAAGTGAACTGACATATTATACCCAAAAAATTTTCATACAGTGGACTACCAGTAAAATTGATAAAATTTTGTGACCAAAAATTATTCAGACACTTTGACCTGACCATGTTTTGCTTAAGTGTTTTTTTCTTTACTTGCTAATGCAACCTTCTTACACCACAGACAGCATTGCTTGGTAATTGGTTGACCTAAATTGTGTATTATCTAATTGTGTACTTAAATGTAACAGCTGAATAATTTTTGGTTGATTGCAATCCTTTACATACCTTTCTATCAAAGTTATCTAACATTATCAAGCGGAATTTGTTCTGACTCAGTTTAACTCTGAGTTCTTGTCATATTTTATTACCATTGTCTAAACTATAGCGAATAAACTGTGATAATGTGAGAAATGTTGAAAGTGTCTGAATAAATGTTGGTTTGACTGTGTATATATGTATACTTTTATATGTATATAATATATTTTAATTTTAATATTTTCAAATAATGAAATATTAATTAAAAATAAGAATTAAAATTTTTAATTCAGAATATCATTATTCAATATTCAGAATATCAATATTCAGAATTCAGAATGTTCATGTATATTTACTTTTTCAAGTTACATTTTTAACTTTGTAACTGCAAAAGCATTAAAGGTGCACTAAGCAAATTTTTCCAAGCAATGTTGATATTTGAAAGCACCAAAACAAACACGCCCATACCCCAAGAGGACCTCGCCCCTGTTTTGATATCTTTGCCCATCCTGTACGTACGCAACCATGGCAACGATGATCGCAGAAACAAGTGAAGATGACACACAAGCATATTCAAACAAAAGCCAACACAGATAAGTCTTGTGAAACAAATCAAAATCAACGTTACTCACCTATCAAGAAGAAAAAAACAATGCAACCTCGGCGTCCACTTCAAACCCTTTCCGCTCCTTGTGTTCTCTCCACCGAAACCCCTTTTTTTAATGTTTTGTTCCTCCGATATTTACCTCTTTTTTATCTTCTATCTCTCTCTATCTATAGTCGATCTGCTAATATCAGTCCTGTGCACTCAAATTGAGCACTCTCTTCTCTCTATCATTACTAGACACGCCCTTTACTGCTGATTGGCTACAAATGTGTTTTGGGACTCAGTCCAACACTGTGGTCAAAAGCGTTTTTCAAATATTGCTTAGTGCTCCTTTAAAAACAAAACATTAATTTAAAAGTGAAGTACATAATGTTTAAAAAAAAAATCCCTAGCCTCCAACCCATCTAGCATTGGTCAGTCAAACAGATAGTCCCGCCCCCAAACTCACGCCATTGGCTGAGTCTGTGTTGCTGTGTTTTAATATTTAAAGGGTAGTTTACCCAAAAATGAAAATTCTGTCATTAATTACTCCCCCTCATGTCGTTCCAAACCCGTAAGACCTTCGTTCATCTTCCGAACACAAATTAAGATATTTTTGATGCAATCTGAGAGCTCTGACCCTCCATAGACAGCAACACAACCTTAATGATACTGCCTCTGTAATGGCGGCGCGCTGCTGCAGATGGGATGAGGAGAAGAGTTGTTGAATAAAGTCATTATTTTTGTTTTCTTTGCGCAAAAAAAAGTATTCTTGTAGGATCGTAAAATTACAGTTGAACCCCTGATGTCACATGGACTATTTTACCGATGTCCTTGCTACGTTTCTAGACCTGGGAACATTACAGTTGTGTTGCTGTCTATGAAGGGTCAGAGCTCTCAGATTGCATCAAAAAAATCTTAATTTGTGTTCTGAAGATGAACGAACGTCTTAACGTGTTTGGAACGACATGAGGTTGAGTAATTAATGACAGAATTTTAATTTGTGGGTTATCTAACCCTTTAACGCTGGTATTTTACTGCTGTTTGTGTGTTCTCACCTGGCTAGCACCTCCACGTTAGAAATGGCATAGAAGTATTTCAGCAGGTTGTCTCTCTGGACGTACGTTCCTCCGAGAGCGGGCCTGAGGAGGCGGAGCCTGAGATTGGTGAACGTGAAGAAATCTCGTAAACCCTTCATGCTCTCCATCCGCGTGTACAGGCCTTCCATGTCCAGCAGCCTCGGGCCGGCGAAGATGGCGAAGCGGGAACGCACCTCGAAGCGCACCACCTTCTCGTTCTTGGACCCGACCCAGCGCGAGTATTGCTCCGTGCAGATGACGCGCGTGACGTTGGCCGCGGTCAGATCGCGCGCTCGTCTCGGCGCCATGTTGAATGCATCCACGCAGTCGTCGGCGTAGTACTGGTAGGGCTGCCAAGTGCGGCCGAAATTGAGCGACTTCTCCAGCACCATGACGGTGGGCCGGCCGTATTCGAAGGTGATCTGAATGTCGTCGGTGAGTTCGAGGGTTTTGTTCCAGGACAGGCTGATGTTGGCCTGAAGAGGCTCGGGATACCGCCGCCACGTGACCGTCTGCCAGTAGGTGATGAGGCCGCTGCGCTCGCGGTCCTGCATCAGCTGCGGCGGGTGAGCCAGGTCAGGGTTAGATGCGTCACATTCATCACTGCAGAGGTATGGATTCTCCTGCAGACAGAGAGACAGAGACACCCTTGTGAAAAAGAAACACACTTCAGCATACATTTAAAAAGAGTGCTTATTATGGAAATAAATCTAGTTTTCGGGCACTTAATTGCATGTTAACTTCAAATGAATGAGAATGAATTATAGTTTAAATAATATAAATGCAGTTAGGTGAACTTAGGAGTGCTTTTTTTGACCCAATTAAGCAGTGCGTCTTTATATGTAATGTCATAATTACTTCTTTAGTCTTTGAAATATGATTAAAGTTTATCGTTGAATGTACTGACGAGCATTCATGGGAAACTAAAATTTACTATAATTACTATTATATTGTAATTGCGACTTTTTAATCTCACAATCTGGACTTTTTTCTAGCAATTCTGAGGTTGTATTTTACAATCCTGTGTTTTTTCGTGCAATTATCTTGCAATATATATATATATATATATACACATCTCACAATTTTATATACATATATATATACATACCAAATGAGAAACAGTATATGTTGTTTTAATATTAATTTTTTGATTTTTCATTCAATTTTGTCACATCTATTAAAACTTGTCATGAATTTAAATATATTTGCGATTACACATTTTAAGTTGCAATTTTGTACATTTAAAATATCTTAACCTTAAATGTAATATTGAATTACACACCACAGTTAAAATTATAATCAAGTACTTCACATGTGCTTTAGTATGTTAGTCAACACATCAAAATATGTGTACGTCTTTAAAGCATGACAAAAGATTATTATAAAAATTTACTTTAAAGGAAAACTTGTCATTTGTCATTATTACAAAGGGCACTTAAATGGATACTTAGTTGTTAAGAAATAGTCAAAAAAGTATTCTCTCTTTAAGTACACTTAATTGGCTTTTAAGGGATAGTTCACCCCAAAATGAAAATTCTGTCATTATTTACTCACCCTCATGTCGTTCCAAACCCAAAAGACCTTCGTTCCTCTTCGGAACACAAATTAAGATATTTTAATGAAATCCGAGAGCTTTCTGACCCTCCATAGACAGCAATGTGACTGAAATGTTTCCAGACCCAGAAACGTGAAGACGTTATTACAATAGTCCATGTGACATCAGTGGTTCGACCGTAATGTTATGAAGCTACGAGAATAATTTTTGTGTGCAAAGAATTTATTTACAAGCTGAAGAATGCACACGCATGTGTCTTGGTACTTTTGTGAAAGTGCGTCAAAAACTGACACAGAAAAGAAGAATTGTTGAATAAAGTCGTTATTTTTTTCTTTGCGCACAAAAAGTATTCTCGTAGCTTCCTAAAATTAAGGTTGAACCACTGATGTCACATGGAGTATTTTAATGATCTCCTTACTACGTTTCTGCCTTGAACGTGTCAGTTGTGTTGCTGTCTATGGAGGGTTCTCGGATTTCATCAAAAATATCTTAATTTGTGTTCCGAAGATAAACGAAGGTCTTATGGGTTTGGAACGACATGAGGGTGAGTAATTAATGACAGAATTTTTACTTTTGGGTGAACAAACCCTTTCATTTTATAGTATCTGCAAGTAGTTTTTTTTTTTTTATGTACTTTTTTGATGTTCAGCACATGTACGCGTTCAACACAATTAAGCGCACTTCTTTTTCAAAAAAGCAGGCAGTGTTCTGACAGGAGATGTGATAGAGATAGAAACAGTGACTGATTGATTGACAAAAACAGAAGCAGGTAGAGAGTGTGTGTGACGCACAGATGCAAACAAACACAAAAAGAAAGGGGAGATTGAGCGAAAACAGATTGTAAAGACACACACACACATGCACGCTTGTCATGGTAAACCTACAGTGAAGAACTTGCGGGCTTTTATTAAAAGCAAAGACTGCAGGGAGTGTTGATCTGTGAGCGCAAACTCCAGCTGCACACACACACACACACATCATTAAAAATCTGGGTCAATTCTATCAGCTCGCTTTATAAAATCACGCAGACGATGATCATCTAACTATAGTTCATGCTGAGACGGCTGCGTTCAGGTATGACGGCTTTGAATCTGTCTATTCAGCATGTAATCAGGATCTGTGCCAATATATCAGATTCACACCTCGACAGAGAAATAAACACTCGCCTCCTTTTGTTCTCTGTCTCACAGGAGCCGCGACATACACAAATGCTGCTTAATAAAGACATGCACACACTCACACACACGCCTCATAAGAGAAGCTTGTACAGCGCAGTGCATCTTGGGAAATACATCATCTGATTTATGAAGCCAGGCACACGGAGAATAAAAAATAAATTAAAGGGGAGATAAAACAAAGTGCGTGTATGTAAGAGAACGACAGGGAGAGAATAAAGACTAAAGGGGTGGTAAAATGATAAAGCGGCTTCGGCTCTTGAAACTGAATCTAGTTTAGCTCAAACTCACACTTCTCGTCTGTATAACTACAGATGGACCGATAATCAGCTCATGTTTTTGTCATTATTCACACTTTTTGTTATCAGCTAAAAATCTGCTCTCACCTCTTTAATATTTAGTTAACAGATAATTGGTACCATTCAAAGAATAGCACACAGTGACAGTATTCAAAGTGAGTTCGGATAATTGCTCAACTTTTAACAGCCATTCATTCTCTAGTTAGAGACATGTAACTTCATTAGAAATAGTTTTTTTAATGTACAACAATCTATATCACAAAAATGCCACTGCACAAATATAACTTAAATATAATAATTTTAAATAATAGTTATTTAATATATATATGATAATGATATTTTTTATAATTCTTCATCTTATAATTATTATTACTTCATATTTATGCAAAGTTACACTGTTTCAGGTCAGTAAGATTTTTTTAATTAATACTTGTATTATTAATATTACTGTTTTTACAGTATTTTTATCAAAAAATGCAGCTTTGATAAGCGGCGTCTTTCAAAAACATTTTAAAAAATCTCATAAACCCAAACTTTGAGTGTATTTTGCAATTTATCTGTTATTAAATTGTATATTATTATTATTATACCAGCAAATCAGACATCTCACTGACATTGCTAATAACTTCCTCTTGCATATTTTTCAAAGATTTGATGCAGCAGACCTTGTAAACTCTGGGAAGTCCGGTGACCAGTTGTTCCTCGAAAGCTCTTGTTGCAACCTGGTACCTCAACTTTCCTGTCCTGATAAAAACCTGTCCACTTTTGCTCCTAGAAGTTGTGTAACAGCCAATCAGATCATAACTGTTGATTTTTGTCAGCCTTTGCCATTTTTTATGCAACATAAATGAGCCTGGAGTTCATCTCAGCAGTCTAGCAGCTTCTACAATTCCAGTTATGTAATGTTCAGTGCTTTGTACTGGATGCAGTTCTGTCAGCTACTGTATATTGCATTATCCTGTTTAGTTGCCGGTAAGTGTTTCAAACCAAACTCAAACGTTTGATCCACAGACCTCGTACAGTTTGGAAATTTCAGTGACTAGTTACTCCTCTGAATTTGTACATCTTAATCCTTTCAGACACATTCTACAGTACAGTAATTCTGATGGTCTGACTCTTAGCTCATTCCAGGACAGGGGTTTAAAGTTACCCTCTTCCCCAAGATCACATTACAGCTGTGTTCCTACAGGCCTCTGCACTGCCACTCATTTCTGCTTAACATAATTCTATTTCCTCAAGATGCACCCGTCTATCTCTCCTTTAATCCATTGTTTCTTCTCTCTCCTCCTCTTTTCTCCATAATGTTATTAAGAGAGAAACCTCATTCTGTTACACTCTTACAGCTGTCTGTTTCTTCAGTGCAGACAGACAGGATCAGACACCATCATCTGACCTGACTGCAACATCAGCACCCATAACCAGGTTGACCGGGTACTCGGTACCACCGGTACTTAAGAAAACCTGGTACCGTATCGTTTTCATTTTTTTAGTACCGACTTGGTACCGAAATACCGGGTCTTTTGACAACACTACATGCATGTATTCAAGCACAAACTCATTCTGACCCCCGACACGCTAAAACTATAGTTGGATTAAAGAGGAGAATACACAGAAACCTTCAACCCCCAAATCCATTGAAACCCAACCCTCTGACACACTTAGTGGAGCATTAGCATGCTTACCGTGTGTATTGTGCATTGTGCGATTGACAGCACTATTTGTGTGTGTGGAGTGTGTGTGGGGGTCAGCTTTTGTTTATATTGTAGGGACCTAATGTCCCCAGAATGATAGTAAAACCTGAAATCACATGCATCCTGAAGAGCTGCCAATGGTTCCCGGGAGGAAAACGGCTTAATTAACATGCTAAATAATGAAAATGTAAAAACATAGAATGTTTTCTGTGAGGGTTAGCTTTAGAGTCCTGTATAAAAATATCATTAGCTCATATATCAGTAGTACTATTTTTATAAAAACAATAAAAGTCAATGATAAGTTCCCACTGCAAGTGTGTGCTTGCATGCACTTGTACTTGCATATATATTTCATTAATTTGAGTGTGTTTTGGTGTTTGCATGCTTGTGCTGATGTATTGGTAATACTTGTGTATGTATGTATGTGTATGTATATGCATGCTTGTATTGTTGTTTTTGCATGCTTGTACTGTATGTGAGTGCTTGTGTGCATGTATTAGCATGCTCGCAAATGTGCATATGAGTGCTTGTATGCATGCGTCCATGTATATTTTATCTATATGTGTGTTTCTGTCAGGACCACTATCGTCAAAGATGATTGACAATTAGCATACAGTTTGGATTGGCGGTATGGTTCCGGTCTGGGCAAGAACTCCCTGCGCATCCATACAGCCTAGCATGGATGAATAGCAGGGAGAGCAGCGATAACCCCCCAGGGTAAACAGAACAGAACCAACATAAATGTATTGCAGATATCGTTAAAGTTCAGTAATGTTATGTACACATTTTAGAATTAGTCTGATTCAAAGGAGAATCAGAAGGCTGAATCCTGACTGACAGAGGAGGAGTTGGGGATGGAGGAGGGTAATTAGCTATTGAGCAATGCGAAAACTGCTGATACTACTGCGGGACCTTATATATGAATGCTTAGATAGGTGTCGTATTCCCATAGGTAGATGGGGATCAGCTGAGAGTCAGCTGATGCGAGCTTGACTAACGTGACCTGCCAGAACTAACGCTACGCTTGATTTTTGGGTGTGTGCATGCATTGTTGTTTTTGCGTGCTTGAGTGTGTCTGTACATGTACCTGTCCAGTATACATGCATGTGGTGGCATCTGTGTGTATATGTACTTGGGTGCTTGTGTGCATGTATTAGCATGCTTGCAAATGTGCATACTTGTGTTTGCATGTATATTTCTTCTATATGTGTTTGAGTGTGTGCATGTATTGCCAATGCCTGTGTTTGTGTGTGTGTGTGTGTGTGAATTCATTTGATTGCTTGCATTGTTGTTTTGCATACCTCAGTGTGTCTGTACAGTATGCTAACATGTATATGTATATTTGTATCTGTGTACTTGGGTGTTGTAATAACATGCTTGCAAATGTGCATACGTGTGCTTTTATGCATGTATGTGTGCTTGCATGTATATTTCATCTATGTGTCTGTTTGGGTGTTTGCATGCTTGTTTCCCCATGCCTCTATTGTTTTTGCATACTTGAACTTGCATGTACAGTATGTATGCGTGTGTATATTTGCATCTGTGTGTGTGTGTACTTGGGTGCTTGTGTGCATGTATTTGCATGTTTGCAAATGTGTATACGTGTGATTGCATGCATGGATGTGTGCTTGCATGTGTATCTATGCATTCATGCATGTGTGTGTTTCTGTTGTCTAGACACTTTTAAGAGACAGAGTTTTAATATTATAACACAAGATCAGCTTTTCTCACCAATTAATTTTTCAAGTGTTTGACAACGTGTGTGTCTTTTCCATGACCTTGGCCCAATAATGCATGTGGCAAAGATGCAAAACTAGCATGTCTATGCTTTCCCGACAATCCCATCCTCCTGCCTCATATAAACACACACACATACACGGCCAACTGTTCCGGCAGGTGGCCCACATCACTAAGCTCCTAGAGCAATTATCCACGTTGGAATCCCCATATAGCAGCCTGTTAAACCAACCAACTGGGACATTACATCACTGTTAAACTGGAACTTTACCTAGTGCCATCCGCATCCCAAGCAATCAGTTAGAGAACAACATCAGTATCCAGGGCTCCAGACTGCAACCAAGTGGTCGCATTTCGCAACCATTTTTTCTGCCTGTGCGACTAAATTTTTCGTTTTAGTTTTTGAAAAACTTATCTTTGCTGTTTACCTCACATTATGCTATGGAGGCTCTCTTTTATTTATTTGATTCCTCAGTGTTTGCTAAATGTTCTGTAATTTATTAGTCGGTATATAATACAGCATGTGGTGTATGCCATGCCTCATCTTATTCGTATTTGTTAATAAACGTATTGTAAGCTAGTTTGTCATTGTATCTTACTGTTTTATTGTTGTTGTGCTTTTTAATTAAGAATAACAAAGAATCCATCTTTTCTTTTAGTCTTAAAAAGTGAAATATGTACCACTTTCGTTTCCATATAACTATAAACTATGATACAAGTTCATCAGCATGCGAGAAACATCAAACGGCAAATGAAACTGAAAGCATAACGAAACCGCTCTACTCGTTTGAACTGCGCAGCGCAAGCTAGTTTGTCATTGTATCTTACTGTTTTATTGTTGTTGTGCTTTTTAATTAAGAATAACAAAGAATCCATCTTTTCTTTTAGTCTTAAAAAGTGAAATATGTACCACTTTCGTTTCCATATAACTATAAACTATGATACAAGTTCATCAGCATGCATTGATTAATCCCATGTTGTAGCAAAAAAAAATAAATAAAAATTGCGACCAAATCATCTAGAGCCCTGTCAGTATTGTAAAATCGGTTAATCTGTCTCTCTCTTTGTCGTCTCTGTGGATTTATATACCTTTAGACCTTCTTACTGTAAGTGTGTGTGTGTGAGTGAGTTATAGCGGTCTTTAAGAAACTGAGAACACAATGTGAGCTCTATTTGGTTTACGAGAACATCACTAAGAATACAACACTCTGAGGAATACACTCGGAAGTGTACGTCTGTTCCAAAGCTTGGTCTGTTCTCGCTGACTATAGTCAACATAGGCAGCTTCCCTTTAAGACAGCATCCTGACTGAATTGGATCATAGTAGCCCCAGATGGAATCTGCAGACTTTTGTATTTTCGGTGCTTTTTGGAGATAAAATGTGTTAAATGGAGCTGACTGTACTGCAGTCTTATTGATGGCTGAAAGCATAGGCCTAATCGAATGATTAAATAAGACAAAATATTTAATAAACAAATATGCAAGGGGTGCAGGATGTGAACCAATAAGGCAGCTAATAAGGCATCTTATAAGGCCAAATTATTTTATTGCTTACTATTTAGAACAGCCTGCAAGCTGGGAGCACAAATATGATTTCTTAAACTGTTGCCAAGTTAGGCAGCTCACTAGGATTTGTAACAAAGCTTAAATGTGAAGTATGTAATTTTTTGAATGTTTAAACAGTATACTGTGTGTGTGTGTGTATACAGTATATATATATATATATATGAAAGTATATAAATATTAGTATTTTTGTATTTAACTTAAATAAAATGAAGAAGCAAACGGAACTGCTAACAGCGGCGCTCACCTGGTGTTTCGGTACAGGTGTGTGTCATGATTAAGTGTAAATATAGCCAAAGAAAAATCCGCTGCAACCACATTTCATAACAAAATCCACAAGATGGCAAAACCTAAAAAGGCTGTTCTTTAATAAAAGTTCTGGCAAGCCGGAAAGCACTTGCAAACACATTTGTCTTTTCGAAATGAAAAACTGAGGCCAAAGCTTTGGAAACTTTCTTTATAAGTTCTTCACGTAAGTATTCTGGGTATTAAGATGAACGGTACTAGTAATCTCATACAACCTAGCATGTAATCAGTCTTTTTTTTTTTGTTATATATATTATGATATTCAGGGATGACAGACTGGATATGTGATATTGCTGTATTTCTAATATTTCTGGGTATTAAGATGAACGGTACTAGTAATCTCATACAACCTAGCATGTAATCAGTCTTTTTTTTTTTTGTTATATATATTATGATATTCAGGGATGACAGACTGGATATGTGATATTGCTGTATTTCTAATATTATGCAGAGAAAGCTATTTTATGCTCTGAGGTTGATTATAAATTTTGCTTATAATGATTATTATTAATACATTTGTTTATTGTACATGGTGTTTTGTACCATGTTGCACTTAAGGCAGTGATTTTTACCATGGTTAAGGGGTTTTAGACACTACATTGTGTTGCATCTACAGTAACTACACATGGTAAAATCACTGTACAGTGAAAATAATTTGGTGTAGAAACTATTAAAATAGCAAGTAAATTTCACAAATAATTACAAAGAAATGGAGAGAAATTTTGAAGTAAAAAGACTGAAATGGTATTTTCTTGTTAAAAAAAATTCTGCTCAATTTTTGTTTTATTTACAGTTTTTTAAAGTGTAGTGCCCCTTTTAGCAGCTTATTTTATTAAACTGTGTTAATTTAGAACAAAGAATACAGAAATTGTTTATGGAAAATATATCGCATAGAAAACATTTTCATATTTTCTGTATCAAGTATTCCAGGAAAGCATGTAATAATCTAGCGTAGCGTTAGTTCTGGCAGGTCACGTTAGTCAAGCTCACATCAGCTGACTCTCAGCTGATCCCCATCAACCTATGGGAATACACCTATCTAAAAAAGCAAGAGTGATCACGTAATAAAAACAGTTACTAACACTTGTGTGTTGCAACATTACTTTTGGATCCAATTTA